TGCAGTGATCTGAACCTGACCCTGATCAAGAAGTCACACCAGAAACCAACACAAGGACACAGAAGAGAAGGAGATACAACTTTAACCCTGCAAAGAAGAACTGCAGAACAGTTATAACCTACTGCAAATGTGAGAAACACAGAAACACAGTCCCACACACACAAAGTTTCCTCCCACTGCTCTGAATGCACTGACTAGTTTGAAATAAGCATAAGGGCTGCAGTGGATAAACATGAATATATTATAAATTCCAACAGTTCCAGAATATTCATGTCATTTCCAAATGCAATAATATATATATAAATCATAATGGCTTTTATGTTTTCAGGTGTTTTGTAAAACAGGACTATGATACATGTGAAAGTAGATGTTTTTCTACAAAAATATGCTCTTCCTGTTCTCAGAAACATTGTATTTATATATTACACATATTTATTAGGACAGTCTATTTAGTCATTTTAAATAGATCTGTAGTTCAAAATTTGTTTTAGACACTTACTATGAGGGAATTCTTGGTCCAGGTCAAATTTGACCTGAACCATACTGTGAAGGCTTCAGAAATGAACAGTATGTAAGGATTATACTCACAGGTAAATATACATACCAAGGTGTTGCCTGTAAACAAGAACATTAATTGATGTTGGAAGCTGCATTAAAGTGTAATGTGTAACATTTCATTGACTGTGACGTCTGTAACCAGGACAGTTTGGTGGTGTTTGGTGTAAACTGGGACATTTCAGTGTCCTGAGGAACTTTTGGTCACATTTCATGTGAGAAATGCAGCTGAGATGAAGGTTCAGACTGGCTGCTGATGCTCGCTGTGGCTGTAGCAGTAAATGTTTTAATCTAAACATACAGAGAACCTGATATTTGCTAATGAGCCCTGGGATAATGTTACGTCTGATGTTCACCAACTGGCTCCACTCTGTTTCTACTAAGATACAGGTGCAGTTTCCCGTTCAGAGGAGGTGTTTCTACACACAATATCACACAGCAGCGTTTGGTTCAAGAATTCAATGTGGCAAGACAAGACATTTTACAATAGATTTTAATTAACCCACTTGTTGGTCGCTGTTGTAGCTCCTTGTTGTGCCATTACTCTGTTTTTACTCTGCTACAAACTTAAACATGCACAGTCTTGATCTTGATCGATGTTTCTTCTGCTCGATAAATAATGTCTGTGAAGTGATGATGTATTTTTGACAGTAAAGTCTCATCTGTGAATTTGTATTCGTACTGATGAAAGTGTAATTGTAAATTTTCATTTCGTAATTGTAATTCTTGACGTCGTAAACTTTTCAATTCGTATTCTGATGGATAAAATACACACATAATCTATTTTATGTACGACTGGACTCATTTGAAAGTTTACAAATGTTTATTTTATGCGCAACTACAGCCAAATATGCACGGATTTCTATTCTATGCACATGAATATTTTTGAAAGCTTTCTTTCTTCATACCAAGCAAAGTAACACTGTGGTTAACAATAAAAACACACCTATGGAGAAATGTATTTCAACCTTCCAAAATGTGCTGTTATGCTCTTATATCAAAATCCTCCTGAAGTGACCAAACAAACTTTTATGAAAATTTACTAAGGGTTCTAAATGCATAAGTTGCCGTTTCCACCTCGTGTTACTTATCTTCAAAATGTGCATTAAAGACAAGATGATAAAAATGCAACTAATGATGGCAGTGTAGAACTGCACCATCTTCTGGGCTGACAGTTTGTCTTTCCTCAGCTGCCCTCCACAGGAAGTATGTCCTCTGCTGGGTCTTCTTGATGAAGAGGTGATGAGGGATTCAGTCATGGTGATGGGGCAGGGGGGCCATGTCCACCATCATCTCCACTAGAGGTGTGCATTGCCATGAATCTGTCAATACAATAAAATATGTATCATGATATACAGTACATGTCATGATATGATGTATCACAGGTATATCCTGATATTCAGTCAAAGGATACTTATTGTGATGTATCAATAATTATTTATAATGTTATGGTAAAGTACACTTTTACAAGAACAAAACTGTATGAAATAAAGTTTATTTATTTATTTATTTATTATTGTGAGAACAGTAAATGTAACTTGAATTCCAGTAACCATTTCAGAAACAAGTTGGATGCTGGTCACACTGGTCTCTTGAAATTACTTATTATTTTACTTTAGCTTTTGCAGATTCAACAGATTCTTAGAAAAAAAAAAAAAATTATAATAATTTTGAATTTGTAAGAAAATTAAGTGCAATCCAGATTCTTCTTAATACAATGAAAGAGCAAAATAAAAATGTCCATGCATTACATGTCCATAACATTATTTTATTTTTTTATTGAAATTTAATTCAACTCAGGAAGTACAATATAACCAGTAGTAGCCAATGTGTAAAATAACATGTAATGCCTACAGGAACAAGGAAATATAATATGAGAATTTCACTTTCTTTTAAGATTCTTGTGCAGAAACACAAGCTGATCAACATGCCCTGCTTTTAAGACACTTTTTGGGGATGTTACAGAGTCCCCTGCAGAAGAGAAAAACCCTTTCTGAAGGGACACGTATACCTGGGATACAAAGGAAATGCCTTGCAACCCCTGCTGCATGAGGATACTCATCTTCCACCAGTGGAGTTGATCCCCACATCCTTGAATCAGTTTATCTCTGCTTTGGCTGCATCATGTGCAGATTTTTGTGTGACATTCTCTCTTGCAGAGGGAAATGTTCCCAGAAGCTCAAGACAGATGTTGCCCAGTCACGTGCTCTGTGCCCAAAGTGAGTGAATTTGAGTTTGAGCCTGAGTTAGGTGCTGAGTTAATTGTTTATAGTGCTATATTACATTTATTGTACCTTTATTGTTGCACACAGTGTGGTTTTTGCCGCCATGAACCAGACAGAAGGAGGACCGGCACATGGGGACCATGGGGACTTCACACCCATGTCCAGAAGTGCTGGCCCAGTGAGGAGAGGCGACACTTGGTGCAAGAGTACCACCATTTTCATGCACTCTTCACATGCTCCCAAATATGTTGATAAAGGTAGCCAGGCCGTTACTTCTCCCAAAAGAGCAAAACCTCTTGAGCTCCAGTGCACGCCTTTTGCCCATCTGCTACTAGCACCGGTAGCACTCAGGCTATTCCCGCTGTGGGCTCAAGCCGCTCTCCTACTCTCACTCCACACAGGCGGATCAGGCTAGAGGGCATTAGCTCCAGCCGGGGCCACAGCGGAAGGCCAAAAAACTTAGCGGTCAGTTGGAGGGAGCACAATAGTGGTTTGTAAGAGTCCAGAGTTCCCCAACCCACCTACCACAGCACATACAGCAGGTATAACAGGCACAAGCCCTGGACTGGGTGTCACCCAGATGAGCCAGGCCCCCACCCCTCTGCTAAGCTCTCATGTGATGCACCACTGCGAGGGCGACGCCCCAGTGGTTCTGCACAGACACCGCAGTTCTCACACCGCCACCATAAGCAACACTGTCAGTTTGGGGAACATAACTGGACATAAATGGGTGTTTCTTGCCTATACGGGGAACACCTCCTACAGGAAACACCTCCCGTCTCCCGTTTGAACTGTCACCATCCTGTCTAACTTATATGTCAAAGAAAGCTAACAGTGACATTAGCACTGAACCCATAGACATATAGTAAAAGCAAGAACTTCAAATTTAAACACTAAGCTGTCACTGAATGTCATGTAGTAAAAGCAGGAACTTCAAAAAAATAAAATAAAAATACTTATGAAGATAACCTCCTAACACGTGTTGCCACTTTGTTTCGACCATAGACAGTTTAGACTTTTATTGAGAAGAAGTGAAAAAGCTGACTGGTTGATTACAGGAACACCCATCAGGGGCCATTCTGTTGCACGTCTGGAACGCCCATGCTGCAAACCGACCCTCCTCGCCAGAAGTGCCAATGTGGACTGGTTCTTTCTTGGAGGACTTCTGGCCTCTCGACCCACTGCAGGACTCCTAGAGAACAGGTGGGCCCATTCTACCCCTCAGTCATGGGTGCACCTGGTTGGTCCACTTTAGAGATCTGCGCAGGACAGTTTTAAGTCCTGCTCCCGCCCGCTCCCGCACTGTGCAGTCCCACTCCGTCGTATGGGAGGGGGGACGGCCTGCTGCTTAAACTGTTTTTATTAATGCCAAATAAAATATCCAGCACAAATTATGCATGATAGGCTTACATTCATCATTTGTATATTTTACTTTACACTCATATTTAGTTTTCAGGACTGTAAATGTGTCCCGCGCCGCACTGTGGCCCACTTGCACCCTGGTTGACGAGGATGCTGAGGATGCGTTCCAATCATCGCCCATCGCCCTCCTCCTTTCAGCAGCATTCTCTGCACCCAACCAGCAAGTGATGTGGATGCTGCAGCCCTTCAAGAAGAAATATCATTGCTCCTGCTCTGCAGTGCCACTACAAGAGCTGGATACTATGGAGATGGCAGCAGGGTTCTATAACTGCCTTATCTCTGTCTGAAGGAAGTGTCCACCAGCATTCTGATCAGAACTGAAGAAGCAGCTTGGATGAACTGCAAAATGATTTTGACCTATATAAACATTTGTCTAGTTGACTAAAATGGAATTTTTCCTTTGCCATGGATTGTACCTGAACGACTGAGAGATTCTACACACGTTAGCATGTAAAATAACTTAAAATAGATTCTTTTTATACCTGAAAAATTAAGAAACACCTTTGAATTCTATTTCTTATTTATAGTTTACGTACAGGGAATGCCTCCCATGAACTCATTACAACATAGTAACATGTCAGCCAGCTGAGTTTGTACTGTGTGTACTACTGCACAGGACCTTTAGGGGCAACGTCTAGTTTTCAGTTAAAGGGCCCAAACTAAAAATACACAATCGGCAAATAGACAGATCAGAACAATCATTTTAAAAAGAGTTGTTACTGGAGGTGCAGCAGTTAAAGTTCAGGAGGGAAAGTACGCAGCCCGAGATGATAGAAATCATGAACCTGGAGCCTGGGATAAAGTCAAAGTAATTTATTTTTACACATGCAAAAGTTGGTTTTCCCGTTAAATTTACTTTCACACAAAGATAGATAAAATGGTGACCTATGTACAGTGGGCAAACCTGCAAAACCATAACAGTCACTGCAATCAGGTAGAAATAAACATTACAAATGGAATTTAAGGGGAAGTGACCAGAAATTTTTCAAATGAAAATGATTTAAGTGCATAACCTCTATGTAAAACATTGTAAAATTAACTTTGATCCATAAACTCAAAATAAACTAAACCAAATGCACATTTTGCATTTAGTAGACATGACACAAAATTGTACCTGGTTTAAAGACATAAAGAGGGGATTTTTATGCTAAATCAACTTTTTGTTTGTTCCCTTATCAAAATCATGCTTGAACTGGTTTTCTCAGTCATTTGTGTATGGTTAAGTAACTCTCCAGAGCACTATTTGAACCCTCCTGTGCCAGAGGGAAGCAAGCCAAACCTCCAGGTTCATTATGAGATTTACAGAGAAAAGATGCACATCTGTATCCACAGTTTGTGTAGAATAAGGGAGAGTTATTTTTCTGACACTGGGAACTGCAGTAACAACGTTTATGTCAGTAAACACAATAAACACATGAATAAACTCACCAGCTCCACTGCCATTAGAACTATTTTCCACATCTAAGTATAATGAGTTTGCAGTTTTCTTTAATGACAAAGTTCAGAGCATCAAAAGTGGCATCAATTCCACAACACAAATAACAAGCTGCAGCCACAGAGACACTTTGCACCTGTAACTGACAAAACTGTCTTAGAGGTCGTCACCAGTCTGAGTTCATCTACTTGCTGCCACGACGTGTTACCACTAGATTTTTAAAGTTCGTCCTCAACAGTTTACTTTCACCATTCATTCGCATAATTAACATGTTTAAACTTAAATCTGGAACATTCCCAAGAGCTTTAAAAACTGTGGTGGTCATCAAGCATCTTTTAAAGAAAATACCAGAGTGCTGGAAAATTACTGACCCATCTCAAATCTGCCGTTTCTAAAGAAGCTGAGCGGAAGTGATGGTTAAACGTTATCTTAATATACAGAAAAGATGTAAAGTAAAGACTCTAAAAGTTAACAGTGAAAAACAAAACCAAACAAAACAATGTGTTATTATTTATGGTGGTCTAGACTGTGTCTGTGTTTTTTCACTTGCCCGCTTGGGTAACTAGTTAGAGGAGAGCACTTCCTGGACAAATCTTTTAATTGCCCCGGACTGGTGGAAAACCGTTAATGTCGAGCCCAGCTGTTTGTTATTGCCCAGTGATACTTTGCAGCTGATGTCATCAACGTTCTGAACGCACTAAATTAGACTTAATCTGATCTTTAACACAGTCTGACTAGAAAGCTGACTTAGTTGGAACTACAACAGGTGACTTGGTTGAAATTACAGCAGCTGAGATGATTTGTGTATAAACAAGTTAGTTAAGTCTCTGTCGTAACTGAACTTAGTATCTCTCACTTTTTTCTTGAAAATCAAACACCTAAACAGGACAACAGGAATGCTCATATTGATGACAGGCTCCTGAAAATGTGTTGTTTAAATCCATTTGGTATTTATTTTTTCTTGAGTGTCTTGAGTCTTAAAAGATTTTGCAGTTTTTGCTAATGTGTGCATGGTGTGACCCTGGTATGTCCCTGGACACTCCACCTTACAGATACATGCAGAACACCCCCAGTCTGATGTCACTCAAACTCTGAATAGAAGTGTACCACTACCCCCTCTTTCATGTAAGGTGAAATACAATGTGTACTACACAGTCATGTGTTTACCAGTCATAATATAAATAAGCATCATCTGAATCACTGTCATCATAGTCATTGTTTACATCGTCGTAGTCAAAGTTTACACCTTCTTAAAAATCATCGTAGTCTTCATCATCGTCTTCGTCATCGTCTTCGTCATTGTCTTCGTCATAGTCTTCGTCATAGTCTTCGTCATTGTCTTCGTCATTGTCTTCGTCATAGTCTTCGATATCGTCTTCGTTGTAATCATTTGAAATGTCATCATCATCATTTAAAAAGTTGTCTTCATCTTCATCCTCATCTTGATCATCATCCTCATAATACTCATCATACTCATCGTCATAGTAAGTGTTCTCATACTTAAGCGGTATAAAAGTAATGTCCAGGTGACATTTTCCAATGCGGTCAAGGTCCTTCTCGTCAGAAAGAGGATCTCCATCAACAGTCAAGCTCAGCTCTTTTAGTGACGATGACTCAGACTTCAGAATTGTTTTAATGGAAGAGAAACTGGATCTTGATATTTTGCAGGAATTGAATCTAGGAGAGAAATAATAACATTGAATATGTTGTTAGAAACATAAAAAAAATAAAAATTACACCACAAAGCACAGCAAATGTGCTGTGCAGACAAAAAGGGAGTACACCTGGCTAGCAAAGCAAAGAGCATTTAGCTAATGTGTTGGGCACTAAAATGAACTATAAGCTATATATAACTATATTTGTTTGCACATCATATAAAAATTATGCTTTCATAAATTTTTTGTCATGCTCATTCTATCTAAAACTTGTTCCATTAGCATTCTCACTCCGCTCTGGTGTTTTAGTTGGTGATGAAATGGTTCATTCCATAAAAGTGTTTACTCTGGCAGATCTTCGGCCACATATGCTGCAGCACCCAACCTTTACGGTCCCTCTGCAGGAGGGGTTCATCACCTGGTGAGCCTGGCTACCTGACAATCACATTCCAGCCCTGGCCCCCAGTCTGACTCCAGCTTGTTTTGTTTTCTGTACATAGGAGATATGTGAACTTCTCTTAGTCTAATCTTTCACCTGCCCCCTATTTGCCAAGGAAGACCCTACCCCAGCGAACAGAGTGCCTAGGATCATTCAGGTATGCAAACTTTGCCATCATGTTAAGTTGGCAGTTCAAGGCGGAGATAAAATAAAATTTACAAAAGAAGTGTTTCACAAAATGTATTATTTTATTAATCAAAAGAAAGAGCACTTTGATCGATATTTGATATACAATCATGTTATAAATACCTCAGTTTTTCCAGTTGACAGTCTGGACTCTGCTGAAATCCACACAGATGCTCCACTCCTGAGTCCTTTATATCACTGTTTTCACGGAGGTCCAGTTCTCTCAGGTGTGAGGGGTTTGACTTCAGAGCAGAGGCCAGAGAGGAACAGCTGGACTCTGACAAACTGCAGCTGGACAATCTGAAAAAACAAACAAACCAAAAAACACACCAGTACAATAGCATCTATCTTTTCGGGGTCAGCCTTATCATCGGAAGACCCTCTAGTCAGAAAAAAATCCATGTTCAGCCTTTATCATCAGAAGAGGGTTAGGGTTAGGTAATGATAAGGGTGTAATCTTCTTTTCGTATAGAACCGTATACGATGGTAGCTACATCATTAATAGGCTAAAACAACAAAGATCAGATCCTCATGAAGTAATTTTTTTTTTTTATATTAGATCAACAACATGAAAGTTCAGAGGTATGGGTTAAAATAGGCTTTAGGTTACTGTTTGGCAAGAAATGACTATATAGTTAAGCTTAGGATCAGTCTGTAGGAAATGTATGAATACTCCCAAAAAGGGTGAAACCCAAACATGTATATTAATGCGTATTAATGACTTTGCTAACAAGTTATGGACCCATCTCATCTTAGACAGCAAATTTACTTACAGCAAACACATGGAAAAAAAAAAACATGGCGCCAAGAAGCCAGTGGGTAAACATGGCTTGTGGTGACAACAAGAAATACTGTAAGACAAGTTTTTGGGTCACCTCCAACTCAGGGGGTTGGAAAGACAAAATTGTACTCCTGTACCTACTCCAGAAAATGAAGACGACACTGCGAGGAATATCACAGATGACAAGAGCCTCTTGCTGGGAATGCGCAAGGTGGCAGAAATATTATAAAGACAGTGAAAGGTGATAAACGTTTATACCAATGGAGAATATCACTGAATATGTCATGAGAGGGTGAGAAGGGCTGACCAAGACCACAAGGAAGCAATTTAATTTGGCTACAAGCAACTGAACCAAAATCCAGGGAAAGGAAACCCTGAACATTTTAATAAACTGACACTGACCTGAGAGTCTCCAGTTGACAGTCTGGACTCTGCAGAAATCCACAAAGATGCTCCACCCCTGAGTCCTTTATATCACTGTTTGCACTGAGGTCCAGTTCTCTCAGGTGTGAGGGGTTAGACTTCAGAGCAGAGGCCAGAGAGGAGCAGCTGGACTCTGACAAACTGCAGGACTTCACTCTGAAAATAACATGTTCATGTGTGTCTAAAAACTGTTGTGATGGAAATTTATGAGTATCTGTTTTAGGTAAATTAATGAGATTTCTCCCTGAGACCCAGAGCAGTCATTAACATATCTGAAGCTCAGCAGACACAATTGTCATCACTCTCCAGGAAAGCCTTTGTCCTCCAGTGTAAAAGTTGATTAACACATGACTGAACAGATGTGACTCTGTGTTTGTAATGTATGATGTTTTGTCATTCTGTTATAAATACTCAGAGCACAGATGCTCTTGGGAGAGACTCTCAGAGAGACTTGCTTGAGATGTTGAGAGGTCCATAGCTGTTGTAACAAAAATAAACATTTTTGTATTTGATAAGTCATCAAGGCTTCACAAATATATTTTTATCATTCATCAATATGTAATTTCCACAACACTGTTTTGAAACCACATGACTGGTGTGCATGTTGGTGCATTCTGTCATGCCAGAAAACACCAAGATGAGAGTATATAGGCTGTAGGGACTGAATCATAAATCTCATAAATCAATAAAAGTCATTCAGTCCTTACCTTAAACACCCATTCACCTGTCCCTCTCATGGAGTGTGAGATTGATAGGCAAGTCAAATACATGAAAGTTATTTTATTTATTAAAGTTATACATTTTTTTTTTTCTCATTTGTTAAATGCTAAAACATGAACTGGAGGCTGGAGAATGGTATCATACTTTAATAGAGAAGCTGACTAACTGACATTCATTCAGTCGGAACAGAGAGGTCCAGACTTCCCTTGCCAATAGAATCATGTACTGCAGCTCTCAGCACTCAATGGAAAGTATAGAACTGGTGCAGTGTTCTGTGACCAGGCCAAAAAACTCCACTACTCCTCCTGAATCTGGAGTTGAACCAGTGGCAGCTGGTCAATAGAGGGCACAAGTGTGTCATACTCCCTAACTTGACCTATATAAAATAGAAAAACTATAAAGTTGCTATTTTATATTAAGTTATATGTTTAATATTTTGTTTAAAATTGAACATGTATCTGCATAGACATATTTTTATCATGTTAAAAGTGCTCATATTACTTTATTTGAGTCATGTGTTTGGAATTGAAGTGTGGTGGGTCCGAGCGACTTAATGGAGGTCTATGAGAGAGCCTGAAGTCTTGAGAAAATGTGACGTCATTACGTTGCTTCTGCCCATTACTTTACATTAGCCCTAAACTACATCTTGGGGGCATAGGGCGGGGGCGACCTGAAATCAAGTGATTGGTCTGAATAAACATGAACACACATCTTGACCTATTGTGGTTCAGCTGCTCTGTCCCGTTCAGTCGTAACGCTCCACTGAAGCATGTTACTGCTACAGGCTCATGAATGGAGAACTACTATGGCTCTTATTCTGATTCCCACACTGGCTAATGGCGGCTAGCGACTTTAGCTTAAACCTCCACACAGTAGAGTGCAAGAGAGACCCGCCGCCAGGACCCAGGACCCACTCGCTGCCGGGGCTCGGGCAGTCGCTCACTGCTCTATTCGCCTCTGCCTGCTTGTTTCTTGGCATAAAAATTTCACTGGGTGTAGTGCACAGAGGGCATACGTCCACCTGGTGCCCTAGTGCTAATATGGACTGGTGTAACTTTCAGATTTAAGTGGGAAGTGGGATTAAGACTAATTTTACAACCAGCTCCTGCACTCGGCTCCTGGACCTCGCGTCACGGACCAGACTGGACCAGGATTTGGACCAGTTTCATCTCTTCGTATTGGACAATACACTTTTTGAGACAGAACCAATGGGACAGTGGACAGAGGAAACACTCTGCTTCAGTCTCTGGAGAAGGTAAGAGGCTGGTTTTTCATTAGTTTGGGGTAGGGATGGGCATTTGATTATATTTTCTTAATCAATTGTCAGGAACATTTATGATTGATTTTCAATTAATCATTAATGTTTTTATATAAAAATTACTTTACAACATATAAACCAGAACCACTCTAGAGCTAGAGCTTTGCGCAAGTCTCACAGAAACAAAACTTAAAACCGCATGGCTAATTTGCATAAACTAAGCAAAGAAAAAAAACAGCTCTTGTGCGCTGATGTGGTTCAACTTCTGTTGGATTAAAGGACATGACTCAGTGAAATATGAGTGATCTTTCAGTGACAGAGGGATGTTGATGCTAATGGTGAGTCTGTTCTTTTCATATATCGTGTTGGAGATGGTTGATGAGGCCGCAACTCCAGTGTTTGCGCTGTCAGATGCAGCTTCATATCCTTACGCTATGCTAGGGTGGCCATATTTCTGTTTGTCAAAACCAGGACACCGTACAGGGGGTGGGAGGTGGGGTCTCATTGAGGTGGGGGCATTGAGATACTCTCACCTGGCAAAGCTTTTTAATATTTTTCGTTGTCCTGCTGAGCTTTGAGGTCCCTGGCACCACCACTGAACACTGAACCATATGTCCCTGCTTTGCACACTGTGCACATGGCCTCCTACTTGTCCCAACTGGGACGAAAAGCGGGGAATTTCTAGTACAAGTTGTCATTAATTGCACATATGCTCTTCGGCATGTTGCAGGCTGACCGACTGTTTGTCTGCTTGTTCCTGAGTGCACAGCGAGCTTAATGGCCTAATGAAAGGTAATGAAAACCCAGACATTTGCATCACCGGACATGTCCGGGGAAAAACGGATGTTTGGCCACCCAACAACCTATATTCGGTTTGTCGATTAAAAATGAATGTAATCGACTAAATTCTTAATGATCAATTATCGATTAATCGACTAATCATGCCCATCCCTTGTTTGGGACAAATCTGAGCACGGAGTCTCACAGGTAAATAGTGTTATAGTCTTATAGTTAAATAGTGTGTAAATGAGCTGGGGGGTGCGATGGAGTTGCTCAGTTTGTTCTGTTGTGTGCTGTAGGAGCGGTGCTGATGCCGTGTGTTCTGTTGTGACCATAGCCTCTTATTGTAGTTTTGCTGACATTGTTGGGGATGGGTGTGAGCGCTGTGTTACGCTGTGTTGTTGGGTCTGGCCATGAGCGGTGGATCAGGTTGTGCTGCGTAAACTTGGGTAAACTTGCGTAAAACTGCGCTTGACTGTGTTGTGCTCTGATAGTTCAGCCAATAGTGACCAAACTGACTGTTTCTGTTTCATTATAATACTATATAGCCTATATATAATACATATATGAATAAAATATATTTATAATTTTGGCCTTGGTGTCCCCCCTCCCCCAAAAATTACATCACCAGCCACCACTGGGTTGAACTATCAGTCGGACACTCTTCTCCAGTACCTTGGCTTTACTGGGGAGGCTGAGGATCCCCCTGTAGCTGGAACCATAGACTGTATTTATAAATGGACATAGCTAACGTGCTAGCCACCACATTCCAAAAAGGAAGTTTGCATGTGGCTCTTCTGGCTCGTTCTGTCTTTGGCTCCCATTGACTTTGGAATACTGTGGCCCCTCTCTCTGTTATTGCTGCTGTGAGCCTCGTCATTTTGGTCTTAAAATGTTTGTATTAACCTGCTCTACATGATCCTGGGATTTTTATTTCACTATTTTATCCATTTAAAAAAATTCTATTCTCCAGGGTGGGGCCCCAGTAATGCCATTCCAGGAAATGTAACAAACTTGATTTAGACATTTTACATTATTACATTTGTACCTTGAAAATTCCAAACTTTAGCTCATATATGTAAAAATCATTAAAGACTAGATGTGAGATCAGTCAGTTGTTGAAAATGCATTATGGTCTTTGTTTTGCCTGTAGTCACTTCAATTGAATTTTGAGCGTTCTGATGACATGGAACTTTGATGGGTCTATGGGATTCACTGAAAACTCACACTTTAGAGCAGGACTTTAAAATGACAGATACACCTACAGCTTGTCTAGTCACTGGTTCTCACAGATTTGAGCATGTTACCTCTATTATTGAGTCCAAGCACTGGATCACTGTACAATGTCATATTGACTTTAAAATGTTGTTAATTTTCTATTAAAGCTCTTAATGGACTAGCGCCACAGTATTTGTCTGAACTCCTCACTCCATATTCCTCCATTCCCCAGAGCCCTGTGCTCTGGGGAAAGAGCCCTGCTGGTTCTTCCCAGGCCAGGACTCAACCGGTCACTAAAGGGGACCTTCTCTGTACATATTCCCTCTTCCTGGACATTAGACAGATTCAATGCCTTTGGATTTTTAGGAAACAATTTAAATCATCCAGAAAGGCAATAGGCATTGAGTAACTTTTGTATTTTCTTGATTACTGTGTTCTATTCTGTTGTGACTTTATGTGAAACACTTTGGAACTTGTTTAGAAAAGTGCTATAGAAATAAATATTATTACTTTAAGGTAAAAACAGTGGTGGGCTAATTTCTCTCCAAGCTAAAGGCTCATTAATGCTCCACTTTTGTATGTAAATAGATCTGTGCATTCTAAACGTAATAACCATGACTGCATTTATGCTTCCAAATGTTTCTAAAGACAAGGCTGCATTTGCACAACCACCAGAAACTCATCTGTTGGAAAATAATCTAGAAAAACGAGATGAGGGAAGCATTTATTTGCTTTGCAGCTGGTTCTAGTCACGTTTTAAAAGTTTAGCTTCCATTGTGGAGCTGTGTTCCCTACTTTCACCAGTGGTTAACTCGTGTACTGCTCCATTGCTAAGATTCCACATGTTATGTAGAGACGACCAGACTACGGACAGAACAACACACAAGAATGGACAGAAGCCTCTATATATGTGCGTCCAGAACGTAGAGCACAAATGAGCCTTAACTCCTCCTCTCAGAACGGTGTTTAGGTCAGTCTCAAATTTTACACCTTCATTCCTAAAACTTTGTCTAGTTGACTTTGTTTTACCTTTTTTGCAAAAGATGGTTCAATTTATGCAACAGTTAAGATACTTATGCTGTATAATTTCTTCATAATTTCACTAAGTTTAGTCAATCTTCTATGTTCACAGTTACCTGAGAGTTTCCAGTCGACAGTCTGGACTCTGCAGAAATCCACACAGATGCTCCACTCCTGAGTCCTTTATGTCTCTGTTTTCACTGAGGTCCAATTCTCTCAGATGTGAGAAGTTAAACTTCAGAGTAGAGGCCAGAGACAAACTGCATGACTTAATTCTGAAATAAAATATAGAGGTTTAGCCACTAATCTAAAGACAGTTTCTAACTGTAATGTAAGTCCATTTGCTTTTTCTTGTTGCTATCAATGCTATCATTCTATTAGCCCTGAATTCAAATGTCAGTGTAAAACATAAAACAATCTGAAACTGACTGACTGAACAACTTAAAGATTTCTACTGATGCTTTGAAGTCAAGTCAAGTGGAGTCATGGCATGTCCCAGCCTGTTTCAAGTCATCAGTCATCATTCCTGTCCCCAGAAGCCCTGGATAATTAGGCTTAATGACTACAGGCCTGTAACCCTGAAATCTGTAGTCATGAACACTTTTGAACCTATGGTTCTGTCTGACCTCAAGTCCATCACTCTCCCCTCCCCTGGACCCCTTTCCTACAGAGCAGGTCTGTAGAGGACGTGATAACCCTGACCCTACCCTTCATCCTGTAGCACCTGGACTCCTTGGGCACCCTTGGGCAACCTGCCCGACACCAACTGCCAGCGTGTGCGGTTGGAGAAGAGTTTCAAGGACACTGTGCCTATCAGCACAGAAACTCCACAGGTCTGTGTTCTGTCCCCCATGCTCTTGATGCTACATCAACTGCTGGACCTCCAGACACCACTCTGTGAAGCTGATCAGGTTTGCAGCTCATCTGAGTCTACTACAAAAGGGATATAGAACGCTAATTATTTCCTGTTATCTTATATCTTGGGCCATCACGCGTTGATAGGGACCAACCTCAACTTGACCCCGTTTGGTCTTAGGACCCAAAAAAACAGTTTTTAAGAAAAGCTATTCGCGAAATTATGTAACTGTAAATGTTAAGGTACTGTAACTGCGTACATGGTCAAAGAACCCTGAAATTTGACATGGTGTATCCTGACACATGGGGGAAGCTAGGAGAAAAATATTTTGGGGCTTGTTGCCTTTCTACTGTCAAATATCACCCTCAACATCCCCCAAAAGACAAAAAAATGTCTGTCCGCTTGACAAATTGTCATCAGAAATGATAATTTTCAAGTATTTTATTGCATATATCACTGCCTCAAATGTACATGAAAAACTTTCCAAGTTTCTAAGTTTCAATTTAAGCCCAAAATGACCTTTGTATCTAGAGGGAAACAGCTATTATGACCAAAGTTCTTCACTGTACCACAAACAGGCAGAAAGCAGAACTTTCAGGCTTTACCATTTCATATGGGATTAAGCAGGATTTTTTTTATAGAAACAATATTTGAAAAGAGTTGACTTATGTACTGCTGTACTAATAATAATAATAATAATAATAATAATAATAATTATAAATAATATTATTATTATTATTATTATTATTATTATTATTATTAGATAATAATAATAATTTTGAAAAGCAAACTGGTCCAGATTCTTCTCAGAATGGTTGATTTGACTGAAAATAAGTGGGTTACAGATTTCCATTAATGTTTCACATGCCCATGAGACAGAAGCTGGACAAACAGAAATCTTAATCTCCTAATCTACTTGCTACTGTATATTTTGTGTTGTATATCAAAGTAACATTTTTTTTTTTTTTTTTTACTTACTACATGCCTTTATTTCTATTTTTGATTGGATATTATTTATTATAATATATTACATTATTATTATGTGTTTACAGATACATCATAATGCTTTGGCATTATGATGCATCCTAATTCCTAGTTTGTGAATTTTGACAACCATTGCAATAACAGATTGAATAACATTGATAAAAATGTTTATGTTCTCAGTGATGCTTATGCTTTTAAAATGAGTCATTCTGCTATGTTCATAATCACCTGAGAGTTTCCAGTCGACAGCCTGGATTCTGCAGAAATCCACACAGATGCTCCACTCCTGAGTCCTTTATGCCTCTGTTTTCACTGAGGTCCAATTCTCTTAGGTGTGAGGGGTTTGACGTCAGAGCAGAGGCCAAAGAGTAACAGCTGGACTCTGACAAACTGCACATTCCCAATCTACAAAAGAATAAATGTCCAAATACTTTTAGATGTGTTTCTAAAGGAACCAGGCCTGGGACCAAACTGACTGAGTGTGCATCCAAAATTTAAAGAGGTGCAAAGACAATACATTGTCATTAAGTATCAATATTTTATAAACCTCAAGTGAAGGAGCAATGCACAGGATCAAAATACAGTATGAAATTGAAATCACACTTTAGTCCAAAGCTTTATCTTGAATTTCCAGCATCCTTTTGTTGCTGGAAATCTGCTACTTCTATTGTATAAAGTTCTTTTTTTTTTTCTAGCACAGATTTCGATTTTGACAATTATGATTATTTAAAAATGTATTCATTATATACGTACAAACAAAAGTTTATATGGGTTTCCTTCATAGAGCCATGTGATGCTTGTATTGCTCCTTGTGCAGTCAATTGATTATTTTACAGCCATTCCCAAGTTTGTACTGCCATGGCCCGTCTATTGATGCAAAGATCACCCAGGGCTCCCTTAAAACTCATTTAAATTACATTTAATAGAATATGTGATGTTAAAACAATACATACAATACATACATATGTGGCTTTATATTAACAGCATATTACCTTTAAACAAATATCTTTTCAAACTATTTTTCTTTCTTCCTTGTCCTGTGGACAACACCCTGCTATGCCTCTGGCCCCACTTCTGGTCTGGGAGTAGATACATTTTGGTATCTACTCAAGATTTCAATTCAATTAAATTCTTTATTCTCATTGTCATATAAATTAACAGCAAAATTATGTAAGAGCATCATACAGAGAGCATAGTATTTTAAAAGTGCATAATAGTGTAGAGCACCTGACACCACCATGTAAAGATTACACTCACTATGTGAACATTAGAATACAATACTAGTAATAATATCAGTGCAGTAGCAAAGAGACATATCAAGAAATCACAACGAGAGAACCAAAAGAACTGGGACATCAAAGACAAGGGGGTATCCAGTCAGATGTGTGTTTAAATGTCCTGTTGCAGCAATGCAAAGTCCAGTTCAGTTATTGTAATGGGTGGATATGGTTTACTGATCGTACTCTCTTCAGACAGCGGGTGGTATAGATGGTACTAATCTCTGGTGGTCCTAAAGATTTTCCTTGCTGTTTTTCCCACCTGCTGGAGTGCCTGCTGATCGGCCTTAGTGCAGCTGGAGAACCACACTAGGAATCCGTATGTCAACACACTGCTGATGGCACAGTTGTAGAAGTTGTTGTAGAAGCTGGTGCTCTTCAGTTGCCTCAGGTAATAGAGCCGTTGCTGGGCCTTTCCTACTGCTGAGGCAGTGTTAATGCACCAGGACAGGTCCTCAGTAACAGTCAATCTCAAGAATCTAAAATGTGTCACCCTCTCTACCACCTCGTTGTCAATAGATAGTGGAGGATGATTGTATTGTCCTTTGTGGTAATCCACAATAATGTCCTTGATCTTCTTTGCATTTAATACCAGATTGTTACTAACACACCATGATGCATGTTGCACCTCAGTCCTGTAATCCATCTCAGTGTTGTTGTTAATGAGTCTGAGCACTGTGGTGTCGCCGGCAAATTTAACAATGAGGCAGGAGGGTGGAGAGTCCCTGCCTTAAGTGGAGGAGTTCAAGTATCTCGGGGTCTTGTTCACGAGTGAGGGGAGGATGGAGCGTGAGATTGACAGGCGGATCTGTACAGCTTCGGCAGTGATGCGGTCGCTGTATTCGACCGTTGTGGTGAAGCGGGAGCTGAGCCGAAAGCTGAGGGGTGTCTGGGTGCTCCCTTAGAGATAGGGTGAGGAGCTCAGTCACACGGGAGGAGCTTAGAGTAGAGCCGCTGCTCCTCCACGTCAAGAGGAGCCAGTTGAGGTGGCTCGGGCATCTGTTCCGGATGCCTCTTGGGCGCCTCCCTTGGGAGGTGTTCCAGGCATGTCCCACTGGGAGGAGGCCCCGGGGAAGACCCAGGACATGCTGGAGGGACTATGTCTCTCGGCTCGCCTCAGGGTTCCCCCGGAGGAGCTGGAGGACATGCCTGGGGTGAAGGAAGTCTGGGAGTCCCTGCTTAGGCTGCTGCCCCCGCGACCTGGCCCCAGATAAGCGGACGAAAATGGATGGATGGCAGAGCAATCATGGGTGAACATAGTATAGAGTAGAGGGCTGAGCATGCATCCTTGGGGGGGGGGTGCATAGGTGTTCCGGTGCTTGAGATGTTGCAGTAGTGAGTGGAGCACAATGGCAATGGCATCCTCTGTGGACTGGTTCTGTCTGTATGCAAATTGGTATGGGTCAAGTGTTGGTGGTATTGTGCTTTGAATGTGTTTGATGACCAGTCTCTCAAGGCATTTAGCAGGAATGGAAGTAAGTGCCACAGATCTGTAATCATTTAGACATGAGACATTTGACAGCTTGGGGATGGGTACTATTGTAACTGCCTTGAAACAGGCAGGGACCCATGATGGAGAGAGCGATGTGTTGTAGATGAAGGTGAAGATGTCTGATAGCACGGCTGTGTGCAGCTAAGCTGTAGTTTATGATGTCATAGATCTGTGCTAATGCTATCTAAGCATTTGCACTCAGTGGGACATAAACAGCAGAGATGTAAACAACAGTGAACTCCCTGAGATAAAACGGCCACTTCACCCACATGACTTCCACCTCTGGGCTGCACAGTTTACGTTGGTACATCAAGAGTTGTTAATGTAGATGCACAATCCCCCAGTGGTCTTCTTACCAGAGTCCACACTCCTGTCAGCTTGGTAGGCAGCGCTAGCTCAATAACAACGTCCGGAGCGGTGCCGTCCAGCCAGGTTTCAGTGAAAATCATGCAGCAACAGTTGTAAATAGTCCGCTCTGCTGCCATTTGTAACTGTACCTCATCCATCTTATCGTGGATAGAGCTGACATTTGAGATGGTAGGAAGCGAAGGTTTGAACGAGTTAACTTTTTGCCTGGTCAAATGCCCGCTCACTTGCCCCTCTTCTGCCGCTGATCACAGTGCCTTTTTTGCTGATCTCCTGTAGTATAGATCACGGGAGTCGGGCTTATGATCTTGGGAGGGATGACATACTCATCCGACGTGTAGTAGTGTACTCCAGTGTTTAGGCAAAGGAGTTCAGAGTGACTGTACTGAAATGCCACTGTGCCTAAAGGCAGTTGAAGGCGAGAGCCTTAGAGACCGGATCTCCGGACATGGAGACTAGCTTTGGGGACATGGAATGTCACCTCATTGGGGATGTAGGAGCCTAAGCTTGGGTAACAGGTTGAGCGTTACCAACTAGATGTAGTCAGCCTCACCTCTGCACACAGTTTGGTCTCTGGAACCCAAGTCCTTGAGAGCAGCTGGACTCTCCATTTCTCAGGTGTTGTCCGCGGGGAGCGACGGCAAGCTGGTGTGGCCTGCTCATTGCCTCACAGTTCAGCCACCATGTGTTGGAGTTCACCCCAGTGAACAAGAGGGTTGTGTGCGCCTTCATGTAGGGGACAGGTCACTCACTGTTGTTTCGGCCTATGAGCCGAACAGCAGTGCAGAGTTCACAACCTTCTTGGAGTCCCTGGGAGGAGCACTGGACCGTGCACCGATCAGGGACTCCATTGTTCTACTGGGGGACTTCAACGTCCACGTGGGCAATGACAATGACACCTGGAGAGGGGTGATTGGGAGGAACAGCCTCCCTCATATGAACCCAAGCGGTGTTCTGTTACTCGACTTCTGTGATAGTCACAGTTTGTCCATAACAAACACCATGTTCAAGCACAAGGGTGTCCATTAGTGCATGTAGCACCAGAACACCCAGAGGTTGATGATCGACTTTGTTGTTGTGTCATCTGACCTCCGGCCGCTTGTCTTGGGCACTCAGGTGAAGAGAGGGGCAGAGCTGTCAACTGATCACTACCTGGTAGTGAGTTGGGTCCACTGGCGGAGGAGGAAGCCGGAAAGACCTGGCAGACCCAAGTATATCATGAGGGTCTGTTGGGAATGTCTGGCAGAGCCCTCTGTCAGGGCAACCTTCAATTCACACCTATGGGAGAGCTTCTCCGAGATCCTGGGGGAGGTTGGGGACATGAAGTTTGAGTGGGCTTTGTTCTTGGCCTCCATTGTCAATGAGGCCGCTCGTAGCTGTGGCTGTAAGGTGTGTGGTAATCCCTGAACCTAGTGGTGGACACTGGAAGTAAGGGATGCCGCCAGGCTGAAGGAGTCCTATCAGACCTTGTTGGCTTGTGGGACTCCTGAGGCAGCTGATGGGTACTGGCAGGCCAAGCGTGCTGTTTGGTCGTAGGGGCAAAAACTCAGGGTTGGGAGGAGTTCGGCGAGACCATGGAGGAAGACTACGGAAAGGCCTCAAAGAAATTCTGGCAAACCATCCGACACCTCAGGACACCTCAGTTTGATGTGTGGAGGGAGAGCTATTGACGTTGATTGGGGATGTCGTTGGGCTGTGGAAGGAATACGTTGAGGATCTTCTCTATCCCATCGTCACGTCTTCCAAGAAGGAAGCCGAGGCTGGGGACTTGGAGGCGGACTCATCCATCATCCTGGCTGAAGTCACTGAGGTGGTTGGCAAGCTCCTTGGTGGCAAGGCTCTGAAGTTGGATGAGATCCATCCTGAGTATCTTAAGTCTCTGGATGTTGTGGGACTGTCTTGGCTGACACGTCTCTGCAACATCAAGTGGTGGTTGGGGACAGTACCTCTGGACTGGCAAACTAGGGTAGTGGTCCCTCTGTTTAAGAAGGGGGACCAGAGGGTGTGTTCTAATTACAGCGGAATCCTCTTCAGCCTCCACGGTAAAGTTTATACCAGGGTACTGGAGAGGAGAATCCAGCCGATAGTCAAACTTTAGATTCAGGAGGAGCAGTGTGATTTTCGTCCCGGTCATGGAACACTGGACCAACTCTACACTCTCCATCGGGTGCTTGAGGGTTCATGGGAGTTTACCCAACCAGTCCACATGTCGTACACGTGTTTTGTGGACCTGGAGCATTTGACTGTGCCCCTCGTGGTGTCCTGTGGCGCGTGCTCTGGGAGTATGGGGTTCAGGGCCCTCTGCTAAGGGCTATCCGGCCCCTGTATGACCAGAGCAGGAGCTGTGTTCACATTGCTCTGCTCGGCCAGGGCCGCCCTTTGTCACCGAGTTCTGTTTATTGTATTTATGGACAGAATTTCTAGGCGCAGTCAGGGCCCGGAGGCGGTCCGGTTTGAGAACCACAAGATCTTGTCTGATGTTGTCCTGTTGGCTTTATTGGGGTTTGCAGCCGAGTGTGAAGCAGCTGAGATGAGGATCAGCTCTTCCAAATCCGAGGCCATGGTTCTTGACAGGAAAAAGGTGTCTTGCCTTGTCTGGGTGGGTGGAGAGTCCCTGTCTCATGTGGAGGAGTTCAAGTGTCTCGGGGTCTTGTTCACGAGTGAGAGGAGGATGGAGTGTGAGTTGACACGCAGATTGGTGCAGCGTCTGCATTAATGCGGTCGCATTGTTAATCAGACTGTTGTGGTGAAGAAGGAGCTGAGCTGAAAGGCAAAGCTCTTGATTTACCGCTCAATTCTTGTTCCTCCCCTCACCTACAGTCATGAGCTTTGGGTAATGACCGAAAGGACCAAATCACGGAAACAAGCGGTTAAATGAGTTTCTTCCTCAGAGTGGCTGGGCACTCCCTTAGAGTATTACGTTTAGAGTATTAGAGCACATTATTGTACACCTCAGATTCATGTTAAAAAAAAATTATAATAATAATAAAATAAAAAAAAAATAATTAATTTTCAAACTTAAAAAAAAAAAAAAAAATGCTCAACCAACATTTTTTTAATTTGTATTTAAATATTTTTAACCCTTTATTTCTCAACATTTTGTGATAAAGTCAAATATAAAAAGTGGAATATTTTCAATTCAGCTGATGCAAGCTGAATTTTTTTGTTGATGCTTGTTAAACCCTGGTGTATGTGAAAGATTAGTAACAACAAAAGTGGCCATACCGGCTTGTCAAAGCCTGATCCCGTCAGATCTCAGAAGCTCAGCAAGTCCGAGCCTGGTTAGTACTTGGATGGGAGACCTGGGAAAATCTGGTGCCACAGGGGGCGCCAGTGGCAAAAACTGTTGTTGTGTCCTTAGGCAAGGCACTTCACCCACATTGCCTAGTATGAAAGTGGTGTGTGTGTGAGTGATGGTGGTGGTCAGAGGGACCGATGGTGCCAGTTGGCATGGCAGCTGCCCTGCAGTCAGTCTGTCCCAGAGCAGCTGTGGCTACAATAGTATAGGGTGACCAAATGTCCGTTTTTCCCCGGACATGTCCGTTTTTTGCATCCTGTCCAGGGTGTCCAGGTTTTTTTTTTAAGTGATGGAAATGTCTGGGTTTTCATTACCTTTCATTTAGGCCATTCAATTGAGCAGCTCTCGTAGCTCTCTATAACTCAGAAAGAGCGAGCAGACACAGTCAGACAGCCTGCAACATGCCAGAGTGCAATGCGCATTTAACAATGACTTGAACAAGAAATTCTCCATTTTCCGGCCCGGTCGGGACAAGTGAGAGGCCATGTGCACAGGTTGCGAGGTGAGACTAGCTCAAAGTCGAGGCTCCACCCCCCCACCCCCGGTAAGGTGTCTGGGTTTTCACAAATGGAAATATGGTCACCCTACAATAGATTACCACCACTGGGTCTGGAGTGACTGAATAATGCTCTGTAAAGCATCTTTGTGACAAATGTCTGTGCAAAGTACTATATAAATTTAAAATTTCTTACTTACAATTACTTAGTTGCACTCATAGTATTTTTTTTTATATTTTTTTAGCAAAGTTAAATACACACGTTGAGGGAGCTATGTACAAAAGTGTGTCCATTAGAGTCCATTCAAATCACAGTTTTTATACCTGCTGTAATAAGACATTGTAAAATCTCCACTTTTCTTTACATCCTCTAAACCCTCTGGCTTTAAATTAATATATATATATATATATATATATATATCTCACTCTGGCTCAGTACTCAGGCACCCTGAAGAAACTGCTTAACCAAAGGATGACTACATGCTGAGTAGCGTCCAAAACCGCCATGACCTGCAGTGATGGCTACTGCAAACACCATGAGTGTTGCTGCAGCTCGACCCTTGTTCAGGAGTTTCTGCAGAAACAACAATATTTCGCCAACTGAACAGGTGCTGGGGTCCAGCCCATGGCCGTTGCATCAGGTGGAGAAGAGCTGCCAATGGCTGATATATGCTCTGACGCTGGAGCCAGCCCTAGCGCTTTGAATGGTGGACACCACCTCCGGAGGAAGACCAAGGCCAACTAGTCTTCCCCTTTCAACTTTCAGACAAGGAGTCTCCTACTTAGAAGGGGGTAGGGTGCCCCCTGCCTATACTACCGCATCTGGTATGTCAGGGAGAGGCCACGGGTCCATCACCGCCATTGCTGTTTGTGGCTACAACCAGGATGTGCAGACCCTGCAACCTCACTTCGTGAGGCAGGAGTCCTAGGAGACACAGCGGCGGATAGACGTACAATAGGCCCACGTGCCACAGCCGTGCGCTAGAGTGTTTACCCTGAGTGGTGGCTCGTCTGACGATCTAAGTGAGAACCAGAGTGGGCACTCTGCATTCTCTGCACTTGTGAAAAGATCGACTTTGGGGTGACCAAACCTGTCCCAGACCTGAAGCACTATGCTTGGTGAAAGGTCCCATTCGTCTGGCAGAAGCCCCCCTTGGGACATCCTGACTGCCCTGATGTTGTGTACTCCGTGTACATGGCATGCTGCCAGGTACGAGTCCACCCATAGCAGGATCTCCGCTGTTTTCCGATACAGAAGAGGAGACCAGTGTGAGTGTGTTCATGTAGGCCACAACCGTCATGTTGTCTGACCTGACATGTTCCCCTTGTAACCTGGGGGCAAAGTGCAGGAGCACCCTCTGCACTGCTACCATCTCCATCAAGTTGATGAAGATGAGGCACTCCCAAGTGCCTTCTATCACCAACTGGGTCCCTTCCCGAGAGTCCCTTCCCACCTGGCGAGTGAGGTGTCTGTGGACACCTCCATGTTGAAGGTGACCTGGGGCCAGCCAGAACCTGAGGTCCTCTAGAGCTGCTCACTGAGTCACTGCTCTCTGCCTGTCCCTCGTAGGGTGCAGATGGAGTCGAGTGAACCAACGCTGGAGTCTGTGCATGTGCAGCAGACCCAGGCATACCACTGGATGGGCAGAGTCCATCTTCCCCAAGACAGACCACACTTGGCATCATGGGACTGATGGAGCGGCCATCAGACTCGCAGTCAGGGTGAGTAGCACTCCGCGTCTCTCCCTGGTGAGCCGTGCATACATTGTGCGCGAATCCAGCTCCAGGCCCAAGTAAGTGGCTCGTAGCACACTCTTTTCTCTGTTCAGCACAAACCCAACCTGGAGATGTGGTGCAGAATCAGGGCTGTGTGTTCCTCCACCTTGTGACGGGAGGATGCAAGGACCAGCCAGTCGTCGATGTAGGTCAAGAGCGGAATGCCCTGTCGACATAGGAGCTCCAACACCACCTCTACCCATTTGGAGAAAGTGAGAGGGGCGAGGGAGTAGCCGAATGGGAGACAGTTGTACTGGAAGCAGCGGTCTCCGATAGCAAATTTGAGAAAACATCTGTTTCTGCAGGCGTGATTGATAAGTGGATTAGCCAATTAGGGCTGACAAGCTGGTGTCAAGAGTAGAATAGATCAAAGAGGTAAAGTATCTTCAAAAAATGTCCACTTTTTATTACAGTGGAACACTCCAGGACGACAAAGGGATTACACCGACATTGACATGATATTATTATGGCACTGACCTCAGTGTCTCCAGCTGACAGCCTGGACTCCTCAGAAACCCACACAGATGCTCCA